CACAGAAGGAAAATGCAGTGAAAGGAGTGAGGAACAGAGTCAAGAGGGAAGGAGATTTCAAAAAGAGATATGACTTGTGGCGAAAATGTGCACACAGACATGCTGTGTAAATCTACATGGAGGGGAAGCACAAGATACTGTTGAACATCAGGCTCATCTTGAATCCTTGTACTGAGGAGATTCAGCCTGTCACCATTCAGAGAAACTCTTAAATATTTGTATTTATAGCAATTTGCCAGCCTGAATACAGAGATGGATGCAGTTAGTAATCACATACAATGATCTGCTTCAATGCAGTTGGCCTCTGGTTGTTAGTCATGAACAGTTAGATTATGGTTAGAGATTTTTCACAGTATCTTTCTAACAAAAATGTAAGAGCACTCTAAATAAAGAAGTTGATCAGTTCAGAATATTGAAAAAATCTTTAAATATTTAATCCAAGCAGACCCTGTTTTTCAGTTACAAAGGGCTTTTCCAAGCAAGGCTATTTCCAGTTTGTTGTCTGGGTTCCCTCATCACTACAATATTCCAGCAAAACAGAAACTCTTCCAGGGCTTCCTGCTTAACGGCTGTTGCTTGTGCGTAAAGATACAGTGGGGCCTGGCCTTCCCAAAATGCTTTTCTCTCTTTGAGGATTTCTAGTTATTTTTACACAGGAGCAAGCACAAGTCTTCCCTTTGCTGGGATTGCCATGGACCCAGTTCTATGCAGTTGACTGAACATTTGGGAAGTGGAGGAAACTGGTTTCTTGTTCGTAAGGACATTCAGCAGAGCTGACAGAAGGTCCCTAGAAAGAAGACCTCCACATGCACTGGAAAATTGATGGGGTCCTTATAGACCTGATAGGAAAACCACAAACAGATCCGGGCATCTTCACTACTCATGCTGATCTATAATATCTGTGACTGCAGTTTGGGCCTACATCTTCTGTCATATCAAAACTGATTTTGTTGAAAAGCTCTCTATGTCAAGACTTTCACAATGCCCACAGAGTTCCCTGAAGTGCTGTACTTGAGCAAAATTTTAGATCACAAATATCCAACATTAGAATAGTTGTGTCAGTAGAGTAGAAACTATTCATACAGAAATTATGCCTAATCCAGACACCGCTTGTCATGCTAAAAGTCCAGGAATATTTACAAAAGCGGACATTGAAGCGTTTTACCTAAAGGTTGGTGGAGAAACCAAGCTGCTCTCTGAATAATTAAAAAGAAATCTAGCATAGAGAAAGACAAATTAAAGACTCAGGACTGGGAAATAATACTGCTCAGGATTCACAAGGATAAGACAGTTGCTAGTACTTTTACTCAGTTCTTCCCATTCTCCAGTGCTCTGGTATGAAGGAAAAAAAATGGTCAAGGGAAGAAAAGGCCTTTCAACAATAAGAATTTCACAAGAAATGTACATAGAAAGAGAACACCTTGTCCTCTCTCACACACACTGAAGTAGAGAGATCGCATGAAGACTTAAGAATAAGGAAAAGATCATTCTACTCTTGAAGTGCAGGAGAGGAAAACTGATAGAAACACTGGAGCTCTCTCTGCTTGTGATTACAAACCTGAGAGAGTCCAATAAAGGTGGACTAAGGAGGATAATGGCACTTTCTTCTCACAACATCATAACCAACTTATATTGAGCTACTCCAAACAGCTGACTTTCCCATAAACTGGTACAGGCCCCTGCTTTTGTCAGGGCTTCTTTAGAAACTACAGCATAAACTGAAAAACCAATACAGAAAGATCCTGGAAAAGGCATTCATATTCCCACCAGCTGATTATAGCACAACAACCAGGAGTGTATACAAAAACATATATTAAAATAATACAGGTCTTTAAAGTCTGACTAGCTCTGAAACAGAAGTCTGCCTCGCTCTTCTTTCAAGGGAAAAGTCTCCATTTCTGCTAAATGTATTGGTTTTCAATTGATCCATAAAGAAAACAACATGCTTTGATGGAGTAAGAATATTTCACAGAATGCAAAAGGAAGACTTTTTTTTTTTTGTTCCTCACTTAAGTCTATTGCTATTGTACAGGCATTTTCAGAGGGTAGGCTGTGTAAAACTAAATAAGCAGAAAAAATACTGACTTCAACATCCCTAATGTGACAACAAGCAGTACTTCCCCTCCATATGCTACATGCTTCTGGTGCCTTTCAGAAAGGCTTTTTATCTCATGCTGAGAACAGACTCCTGCTGCAGATCTGAATGCCGAGAACTGAAAGTTCTGCACAAATGAGACATGGAGTTGGGGAAAATGAGTGCCTGAGTATAGAAAGAAACAGGAAATCAATTCTCAGAGTTGCTATCTTTGCTTCAGTGCTTCTGTTTCACCTCCTCCTCCCACACTTGCTCTGTCCCTTGCCAGCTTTCTATTGTACCAGCTCTTTTCCTAGCTACCCACTAGTGAAGGAAGAAAAATTTACTGAGATCATCTTTCCTCTGCTGGTGCAGTACATCTCTGTCTTAAGGGTAGTGTCTGGTTTATCCTGGTCAAGGTTGGACTGTCATCTAAAAACACAGCAATACTTTCTTTCAGCCTTTTCTGCTTCCCCAGGTATTGATTCAAATCCCATCTAATGACAGGATTTGAGAGAAAAACATTTCTCTCACAGAAACTCTGAAAGCAACAGAAAGATGAAAATTACAGTGTATAAAGAATAAACAGATGTATTTTTTAAAAAAAGCAGGGGCCAGCTGGATAACAATTCCAGATAAGATTTAAGTAAACATATGTGGGAGGTAGCAGGAAAGGCAGTTGGTTCCTCATGCTCAGACGCACACAGGTAATGACCTCTGTCTCTTGCTCTCCCAGAGCTAACAATGCCAGTTATTGCACTCCTCCAGTGAGCTCTGGAAAGGATCCAGTGCACTACTGATTACATTTCATCCACAGTTAGTTTAACCTTTGAAACATGACAGTCAGTGGCAGGGAACAGGCCAGCACATAAGGTCAGCTCAACCTTGTTGGTCCCAGCATTCTCCCAGTGTTTGCACAGAAAACAACCTGGTGATCAAGGATTCCTCCCCTGTAAATACAAAAGACCCAACAGGGACAGTGCCAAAATGCTGATTTTATTGCAAGGTGTCATTCACAGCCATTAATCTGTCAAGACAAAAAAATATAGGTTCTCCGTTTTCAAAAAAATAAAATAGTATTAGACAGAAATTGTCTCATTTAGGAAATATGACTGATCTACTGTCAGGTATAAGGCAACTGCTGCACCTTACTCCTCCAAGAATATAGAAATAAAAAAAATACCAAAGAGAAAATAAGTACACTCTGAAATAACAGTAAGACAACTAGGTCAGCAAGTGTAACAAGAACACTTTGTGCTAAAAGGAAAGCTAAAAAAAAATTACTAAGTTGCCCACTTTTCTCAAGTTACTTCCTTTCCAGAACAGACTCTTTCAAAGCTCACATTTATCTGTTGTACACTCAAATTTAAAATAAAAAAGTAGCATCTTCAATTACCCTGAATTTCTACAGAAAACTACAGGACTGAGCAAGATCAGATACCTTATCACTTTCTAAATATTATTTTTAAGTTTTAACAAAGCCCTTAGAGGAAAACATATGCTAAAGGAGAACAACAAAGATATTCCTGGCTTCAAAAAGCCTCTAGTTAGTTCTTTAGAACTTCTCACATTTTCCTTATGGTCAGATTAAAAGCATTTGAAAGGTATTAAAATGGGGAAGAAAAATCAATTTTCTTTAGGAACTACTGCCCTCTAACATAATAGCAGCAACAAGAATCTTTTTTAGAGATGCTTAAGTATCCCTTGGAGCATGTGCACTTGGATTTTTCATTAGTTGTGTGAGTGTTTGTGTGGATGGCTCTGGAAGCACAGGCTTTTTGAGAGCCAGTATGAGGTGAAGAAAAGGTCACTTCAGCAGAATTCATTTTCTCTTAAATTCTCAGAGAAATGCTGCTAAAAAGTGGCAAAAACAAATCCATCACCTTTTCCTCTAACTATTAGCATTTCCTAAGGTTCTCTCAGTTATAATACAGCAATACCTTTGGTTATACCCTATCACCTTTTTCATCCTCCTCTAAAATTAATTTTAATACAAATGCTGGCAGCAGACCTCTTAAGAGCAGGAGCTAGACTAGACCTCCAGACACCCCTTCAGCACTGCCATGAGCAATCCACTCGCCCGCAATCTGCATCCGTTGCTGCTTGGGAGGGAAGGCCTCCCCTCATTTCCATTCACCACTGCAAAACCCCACCATTAGGCACAAACTAGAAACCTTGCCTCTGGTTTTTCCTGGAGGTAAACCCAGGGTCCTTCAAAGTAGGTGGAAACCAATGTGGTCTTGCATAAAGAAACAACTGTGCATCAAGGTTTACTGAAGGAACGTTAATTCTTGCATTTAGAGTGGAAAGGGGATGCTGCTTTAAAAGCTCACAAACAAAACAAAGCCTTTGGAAAATCCAAAGTCTTCTTGCTCTGGACTTGCTCACTCCCAACCCTTCACACCACACCACCCCCTTGAGTCTCTAAAATGGTCAAACACCTGCACCAAAGCATGTACATAAAGCACAATATACTTTTGTAATGGTTTGTGTTGCCTTGGAGTTGGGAGTATTTATACTAGGAAAGACAATACCCTGACCTACAGACTGGCTCCTTTCCAAAGTATCCACATGAGACAACATGCTTCACAGGGAATACAGTTAGCCCGTGTAGAAGCAGGTGCTGGAATACACTGGATAACAGAAAAATCCAACTCCGGAGAGTGGGACCACAGAGCAGAGCCATTTGAGTGGCTCTGCCTGACAGCAGTAAGGTCAGGTCAGAGCCAGGGTGGAAAAAAAGCTCATCCCAGAGCAGAGCTGGTGTCTGCACAGCAACTGGTCACCTCTGGCTTGGAGAAGGCCCAACCACCCTGGCTTGGGAGCTGGCTGAGATGGCTCCATGCAGCCATACTTTCACTCCTGCAGCTAAAATGCCTCATCAGAGCACCTCGTGCCAGGGAGCTGAGACCCAGCAGGGCTCACTGGCATGGGGCTGGCCCTAGATCAAGGATAGCTGCATCTGCCCCATTAGGCAGATTGGGTCCTGGGGCTGACATCTCAATAACAAGGGAACACAAGGGGCAGATAATGGAGAGAAACAACCCTCAGGGGGTTTTTTTTGAGGGTCCTGAAAGAAAAGATAAAGAGCTTAGGTCCAATGCTATAAAGTCAAGAAAATGCTGGCAGAGGAATGCAAAAGGAAAGGTAACACAGTCAAGATGACAGGCTCAGAAAACAATTTTCACACAGACCAGGTATAAGTTTGCCCAGTCCAGTGAATGCATTCCTGATATGGTGAAGATGGAAGGTGAAAGCTTGGATAGTGGTATTTCCCTCTCCAAAAGAAAGAGTAATACTGCTACAGAGGCCTTACAGAGGACACAGCCCTGGCCTGGGCAGGTGGGTGGGCACAAGAATGGGTCCAGCTGACAGTGTGGCCCAGACACAGTAGCAGAGAAAGGACAGAGGGGGGAGGACCAGGAGCTAAACATCCTGAAGGAGATGCCAGAGAGAGAGGCCAAGATATCAGCTTCAGCCCAGAGAGACTAATGATTCACTTTATGGCCCGCAAGCACTTCCCACCAAAGTTCACACAGGAAGATAATGTCCCCTTCAAATGAATTTATGCAGATGGCAGTTCATTTGCCAGAGGATAAAAAGATGCACTTTCATTTTAAATGAGAACACTTGAGGTCCTCAGCAAATAAAACCAAGCAAAAAGCCAGTGTCTATATGTGAGTGGTTTCTGCTCATGCCTGTTTTCTAATTTCAGTGGGAGTTTACACCATCCGAGTTACACAGGTCTGCTGATCCAAAAAGGCACATTAAATCCATACCAAGTCCATACTTCTCAAAAGATGCAAATGAAAAAAAATGTAGATTGTACAGGCACATGTCCCTGTAACATAACTTCTGAATTGAAAACAAACACAAAACAGTACCAAGTGTGCTCCAAAATGGAAAACTGCTACATGTGAACCTGCATACTTCAAGGAAAAAGTATTTGCAAGGAAAATAACATTTTTTTATCTTGATTGAGATCAAACCCTGTCTTTATTGATGCTAAGCCTCAGTAAGATTTTAAAAAAACCAACAAAAAGACTGCTTCAGAAAGTATTCCTTGCCTACTCCATTAGCCAGTTTCCTGTGCCTTTCTCACATGAACTTGTAATCCTTGATGAGGTTTACACATGTGAAAATAAAGTTTTAAGCTGAAAATCATCATTACCTCTACACGAAAACACTATATCATGTCAGACATCTGATACGGTAGACAAAGCATAGTGGTAGAAGGATACAAAAGAAAACATTTCATTTCACTACTGCTGAAATCAGGTACTGAAACTTGTTCATTGATTTTCCTTCATTAAAAAATAACTGATTGTAAAAGAAGTGTTGCTTGGCAGGATCAAAGCCTATCCTACAGGAAACACACACACAAAGCATTTGGAAATGAGGGTTAATTTGGCATGCAATTTAACAGCACTAGCTTTTATCAGCAGCATTTCAAGGTCAGGCACATCCATGTTCAAAATGTTTGGGTTTGTTACAGTTTCAACAACAACGTATTGGAGTTCAACATATCTTAAAGTGATATTAATCTCAAGGAAGGCTGCACAGAAGCACAAAAAAACCCTAACACCCCCATTGATAGTTTAGCATTGCAAACATTAAAATCAGAAAAAACTATTTCAAAGAAACTAAACTAATGAACTGATGTGGCTCTTTAACTCTCCCTTTTATGAACTCAAAACTTGATCATTTCAAGAAAAAAAACGAAATTATGTGAAATCAGCAGATTACAAAAAATGCTCTCCATCTGAGCATGGGATTAAGTCAGAAAGATCAGGCCAAATGGAAGGAGTCCTTTTAATGAGAGTTTCTTCAAGATTTAGAGAGCTTTTGAAGATATCGAGTGGCTAAGTCAAAACAGCCTCATATTTGAAACAGCGTTTCTCCTAAAGTGTCTGATTTACAGTTTTTTCTAAGAAAAAACACTTTTTGTATTTTACCTCAACCTAATCTGGTCAGAATTCGTTAGCACATTTAATTTATTTATCAAAAGATTAATTAAAAAGGTAAGATCATTAATTTTTTATTATGCTTTATTACTAATTTATTAAAAAATATAAAAAAGGATGAAGGGTAAAAGAAAACATGAAGCAGATTTGCTCAGCTTCAATATAAAATACTCCAAACACTTACTGGAGATTTTCCCTTTTATTGATTTATAAACTTCAAAAAATAATGAATGGTTATGTGTTTTCACATTCACAGTTATGCTGTGGAAAGTTTTTCTGCGTCTGTTTTCATTGAAGGTTTGTTCTATACAAAGAACCCTAACTACCCGTAATGCTGACAGACTTTAACAGCGGTTGGCACCAAATGTTTCATGAGATCAAGTCCATACTGCACTTGAAACAAACACTTTGATTAATCAATTACTGGCAGAACTTCACAGTACCACGGATGTATGCCTAAGAGCTTTACAAACGCTTATGGGACAGTGATGTTAGGGGACTGAAATCTCTTAAGCCTCTTTCTTTGCAATTCTCTGCCACAGTTCAGAAGAATGCCACCCCATTACGCCAAAACCAGGGGGGAAAAACAGTCGCTCTCACTTCTTGCATGAGCATAATTAATCTTCTGACATGTTGACAAAGCAGCTTGTTGATAGTCAAAGGAAGGATTTTTCTGATTTCCTCCCAAGACAGGAGATGGTCTTTATCCATCATCCCTTCTTCCTGATCTCTTCTTCCAGAGTCCCCCCATCAGCAGAACTGTCTATCAGAGCAGACAGCAGGAGGGAAAGGTCTGGTTGATTTATAGGGCACCAGTGCTCACAGTGCTATTTAAGTGTAGGAATCTATTGTTAGAATCTTACTTTACAGCAGTTTAACAAGTATAATGGCAACCAATTCAACCATTGTACCACTAGAGTCAGCTCAAGCTAATAAGTGAAGTTAGCTAATTACACTGATCTGATTTAAAATACAGACAATTTGTAGAGATAGTCAGCATTAATGTGCACTGAAAGAGTAAAAAATGTTAAGGAAAAAAAGTTTTGCACGTATTATGCTTTGTGAATTGAATGATGGTTACTTCTCACTCTTCCTTGTGAGCAGGATCATAGATTTCCCTTCTCTTGCAATTCTGGGCCTGCTAGGTATTTCAAATTAATCAGAATAAAGGCATTTTTTGTTATAATGCAGTTGAAATTTCCTCCTCTTTCCTTACTTTCCCCAAGTTCTAATATATTTGACTGTTAAATTATGAGGAATTTCAGTTTCCAAGAAGAAAACATTATAAAATGGCTTCTAAAAGGAGGATACTACATACTGCAAAACCCATCAAACTCCACAGTTTTGACACATCTTTGAAGATGCCAATTTGGTGTAAACAAAGTGCAGGCGTCCTGATGTAAAGAAGATTTTGCATGCCTCTCACAAAGATACTTCATATGCAAATTACAAAAAATATATAGATATTTTTCTTACATACACATTATATATATTTACATTTCTTTTGTAGTTTCTTTCCAGTCATCTCGCTCACCTTCCCAAAAAGAGATTAGCAAAATATTTGGGTATGATTATATGTTCACTCAGTTATTTTCTGCACTCACAGAGAGAGTAGAAATTCTGTTAATCACTCCTTTTAAAGCTCTAATTCTTTGATAATTGCTGGTCATGAACCATTCCAGGTCAGAGAGGACCAGGGCATGGTACTCTGTGAACTGCTGCCAGGCAGGGCAAGTCTGACTCATTATTTGAAATAGATGACCAAGAACTAAATTAGACCACAGACTCTACAGGCCTCTACCTCACCAACGTAACAACCAAGGCAAAGGCATACAAGAGCCAGTGCTCTTTTACTGAAGTTGCCAAGAAAAATACCTTCATCCAAGTCACAGGAACTTGGTAACTCTGGATGTAGCTACACCACTATGACCTTGACTATTTCATTCAGAACTTACCCCTCCGAAAAAATAACTGCCTGTGCTACCTGGCCCAGACCAGTTCTCCAAGCAGTCTTCTTTCATTCAGCTACACCAGAAAAACTACCAGTATTTATCTCTGTGAGTAAAATTAGCCATTCAAAAAGCGAACATGGTGTTCTTGTCATAAACTGCACAAAATTCCAAGGGATACCAACTAGGCTGGAGCTGGAGTTAAATACTGTTTATGTCAGCAAATGTAAAAAACTACTTGTTCTTTCTGCCAAAAAGACTAGGCCACAACCCAGAGAAAGATCTCCCTGTCTCTTTACTGGCATTTTATTCTTGCAGATGTTAAGGCAGCAATAGGAACAGCCATCTGCAGTCTCCTACTTTTCATCAAGCTGTTTCCCAATCTGGCTGCAGGAATCAACAGAACTCCTGGTCCTTGGGACACGATACATGAAGCAGAAATGGGGAACACTGGCATGGGTGAACAGAACCATCCAAATCCAAAGACCTGTGCTTAAGTGCAGAGAGGATTCCTGTTGGGAGGCAAAAGGGTCACAGGTGGGAGAAGCAAGGAGGTCTCTGCTGAATGTTGCTAAAGAGGAAAGTGGACTTTCTAAACTGGAAGGGACTAGTTTGGGGTTGATGAGACACAAGGTTAGGCAATCTGAGTCCAGAGGAAAGGCAAGCATGAACAAAGGGCTGTGGAACACAAGGCTAAAGGAAAAAAGGAATATGGGGACCTCAGGGTGCAAAATTTGAGGTTATTCTCTGATCCAGATGTCAAGCACCATTAATGCAGATCTTCATTTAAGGGATGTGAAAATAAATGTAAGACTGTCTCTCCTTTTCTTTCCCTCTCCCCCAGTATGAGCTGCCAAAATAGCTGCTTTCATTCATACCCAGGCCACCTTGTTTGCTCTCAGAAATAATGATGCTTTTTTCTGAATTGCAGTCCCACACATTGTCTTAAGATTGGAAATGCTGAGTCAGAACTAGAGGGGGGAAAAAAAATGTGGATCAATAAATGGTAAGTTGCAGCCTTGCAAATGCCCGGGCCAGCCAAAGGTGAATTCCCCAGAGTAGAGGAGATCACAGAGCTTTCTGCCATAAAAGCTCTCTACTCCTAAGCTGAACACTCCCTCTCTCTGTTGCCAAGTCAGTGGCAAAAATTTGCTGTGTTTACTGCCACAATATAGAGTATTACTGCATCACAGGAACTAGATAAGGGCATTAAAGATCATCTGAGCACTGCAAAGAATAATTTCAATGAGACTTCAACTATGCAAGAATTGCAAGCACCGTTCATCTAACAGGTCTCTATTCCCCTTCCTTTTTGCAAAAGCCAAAAGCAAGCTAGAGGTCTGGCAGTCAGAGGTGAAGTTTAACAACAAATATAACAATTTCAGTATCTGAATGATGAATTTTGCATTACATGCCTGAAAGTAAAGGAGTGGTTCCCCCCCGGTGGTAGAATGGGAGAGCACTGGGACCTGCAGCAGCTCCTGCAAAGATAAGATGTACCATTGAATCTGTTTCTTTTGTTAACATAGCATGCAGCTGACATACAGCCCAAACCAGGCTGTATCTTCCCAGCACATGCAGAGCAAAGATATCGGAGAGGGAGGAGGCAGCTTGAGAACCAGAAAGAGCCCACCCACAGCTGCAGGCAGCTTTGTGGGGCAGTGTGTTCTGAGCAGTGGACTGGATAGCTGACACAGAGCTCCTGCTATCTTGGGTCAGTGTCTATCGAAGTTCAATACTTCTCTAAACAAACAAAGGTTGGGTACCTTTGCACTGAACTGCAGAAAAAAACACATGTAGAAATACCCTGTTTGTGGGGTTTCTATTCGATGGTAGAATGGATCAGGATATTTACATACTGTAAATACCTTACAGTAAACTGCTACTATAAAGAAGGCAGTCTGTTTGTTACTGATGCTTTCTCCCTGTACATATTAGATAGAAGATTGTTAGTATATGCTCATTCATTTAAAGCAAATTCATGGAGCAGAGATGCTGACGGTTTCTTCTTGGAAGTAATAGTCACAACAGTGAGTACAAACATTTTCCTCACTATTCTAAATACCCCTTAGGCATTGCAGGGTACTCTTCAATAGAAATAAGGAATTTCTTTGGAATGATGAGGCCCATTTGGCTTATAAATAGATGCTGTGATGTATGATACAAGAATAATTTCAGTGCCATGCTAGGGATTTACATGGAATAGTTAATCTCTGGTGCTGACAGAAAAATATTCCATTGTGAATAGAATATTATTTGTTAATCAAATCCTTCTGCTAGAAAATATACAAGATGATTAATACCAGTGACCCAAATATACATCAGGTTTCCCCATCACAAGCTCATCCAAGGTACAGCATGATAATTTTTAATCAGTAGAAGCATTTAGGTATGGAACGAGGTGCGCCTCTATCCCATGGCAGAGCGCTGAACAAAGGATAGCTGCTGTCGGCTGGTCATGGCTGGAAGGTGCAGTGCAGTAAAACAGCAGTAGCCCACTGTGGTAGTGTCCCACAATCTCTTAGACCAGCCAAAGCAAGGAGCTCCAGCAGAAAGCCTCCCCAATAACTGTGCAGCTGACTGCAGGGCCAGCCCGGCCAGGCCCAAACAGAGTATAAAACATATAACACAGTGAGGTGTATTCTTCATATGTTACAGCATGCAAGAGAAGACCAAAGGGCAGTTGGGCAACAAAGATATCTCCGTGAAGAAAAAGCTATTGATGGAAACTTTGCTTCCCTCTTTATTAACAACCTCCACTAATACTTTGTGGCTTGCTTAAGGCTCTAAGTCATGATTTAGAGCACCATGACAAGTTTTAACCAGATCAAGTACTTCTTCCCATCCTGATGTCTGAATTGTAGATAGATGGAGGTGCAGTCCTATTAACACCAGGAGCTATATGTCAGTCTCTGGAATGGCATTAAAGGGAAAGCTGACTCCAGCGGAGAAGCTCCATCCTGAAGGTAAATGACTCAGATTACTGAAAAAGAGTATTTTGACTGACAGCTTCTCCACCTTGACCCTTTTAAGGGGAATTCACCAGTCATCTGTTTGCGGGATGCTACCAATTGTTTCCTTTCATAAAGCAAAGGACATGACTCTCCATCCCTGTACTAGTGGACAAGAAGTTGCTATCAACTTTACCCAAGCAGAGAATTTTATAGAGTTTATGATTACAGTTCTGATACACAAAAATAAAAGTCATGTCTCTGAGCACTAAATATGCAAATACTTGTTAGCTTGCATTTTTGGAAACAACATGTATTTCTGTACTAGAGGTGAGTGAGAGTGATGAAGTTTCATGACAGGTTGTGCAATTTTTTCTCTTTGCCAACTCTTTTATACACCAGGAGTTTTGATTGTCTACAAAAAAAAAAAAGATGGGAAACTATAAGTTACTAAACAACAAACAACTAACACTTGTTTCAGATACAGCAGAAAACAACACAGAAAGAAAACACAAGGCATAGAATAAACAGATAAAAGCCCAGCACATATAACAGGTCTAATCTAATCAATATTTATTTAACAGCACTAAGTAGCAAGGAACAAACTGCAAGGTAGCACTGTCTGATGCAGTTCCTCTGACTTTTTGCCTACAGCCACAGCTGCACCTTCTGGCAATGCAGAACCTGGTACCTGATAAAGGAAGCCCAGTGGAGTGCTCTTCTGTGGTACACAGCCAGTACTGACTAAATGAAACCTGCCCTTTTGGAACTCAAAGCAACACGCAATTCTCATTTACAACAGAATCTTCTCCTCAAATATTCAGCTTCAATGAAAAAAAAAAAAAAAAACACAAACCCAGAGCTTTATAAATTACTGTAAAATAAGACTTTCAACCATGACCAGTAGTAAAGTATAATCGCTTTTAGAGAGAACATAGCCTTATTAATCACCCATTTAATTTCTCTCCCCACAAAAAAAACCCCAGAAAATAACCCCCCAGTAGAATTACTGATGAAAACACGATTCCTCTCAATTACAAGAGTCTCTCTCACCTATCTCTAAAAGACAAACAGCAATATAATATAAATGATTTTCGAAGTTCTCTGCAAACTACTGATTTATAATTGAAGATGATTGATACAAGTTATTTGAATACAGAAAATCCAAATCATATCCAAAGCTCTCATAAGACTATTATTAGCTATACATTATTTTAATAATTCAGGTAAATATTTTTCAGTGAGGCCTACATTTCCATAAAGCTCTGTCAAAAGTTACTGCAAAGGTAATGAAAGAATTGGGTAGCATTGTTAAAATACTTCATGAACCTATACCATATATTTTGTAATCAGTTCTACCATTCACATTGACAATAAAATAAAAAAGTAGAAAATAAAAAGGTAGAAATCAAGCTAAATTGGTTTGAACATCTTTAGCCATTGTAAAATCATTAAAATTCTGTCAAAGTTTTATTGTATTTCACTTGTTTTGAAATTTCCTGACAGATCTTCCAGCAACTCACACTATTCAAAACCAGCATTGTTCCAACCTTACAAATGTGCCCATTGCAGCTCTGTGCCTATCAGGATTCAGATGCTGTTGTCTAGCTGCACCAAAACATCAAGATCTCTAGACAGCAGATTTTCAATGCAGGTCATGCCACCAGCAAAAGCAAAAGCCAACACTGTAAATATAGATGTTTATCATTGTCAGAGACAAGGCTGGTTTAGACTGGGAACAGTTCATCTCAAAATACTATCAAACTCAGATTTGGGCCAGTCACTTAGAGACTTGTCATCAACAGCTGTTTGATATACAATAAGAACATAAATTCTAAAAGCTGGATTTAGGAAAAAAAAAAGCTCCATGTATTTTTAGATTATTACTTCGGCCCAATTTTAAGTCACTTAAATTCAACATGTGAAGTCTAAAGCAGTGTCTGAATGATTTGTGCTTGTTCAGTCCATGTTGTTCTCATCATGAACATTTAGAACACTTCTGTCTTCAAAAAGTACATTTTGTTCTCTGCCACTCAAGCATACACACCAAACACTAAGTTACAAAGAAAAGCAGATATGTTGAAAGGAATTATGGTTGTTTTTCATTGAGATAAAGTACAGTAAAGAAAACCAACTATATTTTTTCCTTCCCTTTCTCCACCCATATCCTTACACATACCCAAGGTAAAGAATATAGTTTATTCCTTGCCTTCTAACAAATTAGATAATATTTTCATGTTTCAAATATGTGGTTCCAATTATCTTTTAAGTTCCAATATTACAAAGATCTAAAACTGTACCTATTCTTCACACAATCACACATTACTCAGTGTCCAACCAATTAATACTCTTCCAAAGGGAGCACAGATTAATCACTAACTGTTGTGCCTCCACTTGAACACCTTGGAAATGGAGGCAACCCTTTGTAAGACAACTTTTAGCCCAGAATAAGAATTAACATATTATCTAGTGTTCTGCAAAGCCTGTAAATGTTTTCTCTGTTGTTCTTTTATGTGAGACATCTCACAAAAATCTCAGAGTTCTTTCTTTCAAAGTAATTGGAGTGTGACATGAAAAAGCTGTCAAAGTTAAGTACAGAACATTTGAAAATAATAATTTTGGAAAGGACAGTTGGAAGTGATGTTTTTAAAGAAAAGTGCTTTGTAATTTAGAAAGAATTTATGCTTTATATGAAGCCCATTTCAGAGCAAATATGATCAGAAAGGTATGATAGTCTTCACTCGTTTTCGTTCGACATCCAGCATGTTTACACTGGAGACATTTGAAGGCCAATTTATAATGCTTAGCAATGGAAGTAGACAATACAAAATATTCTTTGTCAATCATCTACATGCAGTCTGATTGCTTGTTTGCAGATTTATGCAACAGTTCTCAGAAAAAGAGAAAAAAATGGAAACTGCAGAGGCTTCAAAGTCAGCAGTTTATTCTTCACTGGCATTGTTTGCATCATGGGTTGAAACAAAAAAATCTGTAAAGCACACTACAATAAGAAGGAAAATAGTGAAGTTATAATTACAAATCTCAAGAAACAGATAAATAATGTAACAAAATGATCGACGGATTTGCTGTTACATAGTGAAAGTTAAAATTACTACAAGTTCTCTGGAATAGGTACATTTTATCTCAATGGTTTCACATAGTGCCTTTTCAAAAAATAAATATGCATTTACATCCATTTAAAAGTAAACCTAATTGCTATCAAAGTGACTTTTGAAATTCCATGCTTTAATCTCTAACCAACATAACCTCATTTTTGCTAGCTAACATTGGACTCACTGAAAATGAAGAATGCAAACAAGTTTTAATACTATCATTTAAAGAAGATGAAAATTTTATTTACTGCAGAGCTATAACCATTTGCAGTATTTAAAGATCGTCAAGTCAATGACATTTAAGCCAGTTTTATAAGCAGCAAAACTGCAATATCCTTCTAAAATAAAACAAGCCATCCTACTTGGCAAGTGGATGTACCAGTTTTCTACTCTTGGCAATTAAAAAAAAACAAAAAACAAAAAAAACCCCAACATGTTTTGAAGGACCGTATCTGCCCCTCATCCAGCTTTGTTACATGTGGTCTTGCCCAGTGATTCACATAGCAACACACAGAGAAAAAGGTTGTGTGGACACTGAAGAAATTAAAGTGATAGTTTTCATTTTGAGTCAATCCAGCCCAAATAGAGAGAAACTGAGCAGATTCAGAGGGATTCTTCTAATACTTCATGTACTCCCATGCAGTAAAATAAAACAATGCCACAGCAATACAAATATTTCAGAGTCATCTGCTAAACATCACATAGAATTTATTTGCATATAGATTTTCATGTGAATTAAATGTAAATATCTCAAAGAGCTTGACAACATAGACAAAAAGACTACTCACATACAAATATCACATGTACTTTCTCAAGAACATGGCAACAAATAGGCAGTGTGAGGAAAACCTATACATAGAGTAAGCCTCTTACTCTCCCTACCAAAGAACAGGCAAGAAAGCTAATACAGCATAACAAAAAGTAGGTTTAGAGACCTAATCTTAAGAGTAGTGTAAAGAACTGACTTTACTTCTTTCACTACTCTACAAGAGCAAATGCTATATATTGCCATGAATTCACACCGTAGTGAAAAGACAACATCTTCAAAATCAACTTCATGTTTAAATGCTGCTCTTCCTGCTCTGTTGTTTCTGCTGATAAATACTAGGAAATCAATGAGGAAACATCATTTGAAGTGAGCCATTCATCATGTACCGAAAAGGGTAAGTACCCCATAAATTGCAGTGATCCGTTTCCTATTAGAATCACACAACAGAAGGCAACAGCGTTTCCATTAGCAATTTTTATGACCTCTATAGGTAGAGGATAAGGTTAGGAAATGGCTTATTTTTGTCAGCTATAAAGCAGTTGTTGGGTGGGGTAGGAAGAAAATTTTCAAGAGAATCAGAGTTATTCGTAAATCAAAGGGCAGGGAGAGGGAGAGATACAACAAGTAACAGCATCATCAACTACACATTTTCATACTTAAGAAATTTGTGGATTGGCAGTTTTCTAAGTAATACTGAATATTTTAGTAAATTTTACTGTCATTGGAACCTTATTATACTGCATATGAGTGTAGGCTCAAAAAAAATTGCTACCATTTCCTGTGACTGCTGCCTAGCAAACAGCACTTTTTTTTTTTTTTTTTTTTTTTTTTTACAACCTAGGGAATGGATTCTCTTTTACTTTTTTTGAATGTTCCTCTAAATCCAGTGTTACACAAAACATGAAATAAAGATTCAGGCTTTAAAAAAGAAAAGTAAATTTTATTTAATCAAGCACTCCATTTTCCCTTAGCCCTGTTAACCTTCCCTATCCCATCCTGTGCAACACTCTATACTCCCTCCACAGAGAGATGAACACACTAAGAAGAAAAAATAAATAAAAATTGTAGGGTTTGATGTGTCCCTTCACAATTGACAATATGACCAAATACAGCCCTGAAAGAACAATGAAG